ATAAAATTATCAATAAAGGTCAATACGGTTTCCAAAAGCGACACGCAACAGAGCATGCAATCCTTGATCTCTCAAATAGGATTAGTAAATCATTTAAACAAAAAAAAATTCACGTTAGGAATTTTTATTGATTTGTCAAAGGCGTTTGACACCGTCAACCATGAGATTTTAATGACAAAAATGGAAAATTATGGCGTTAAAAATAAAGCTTTAACTTGGTTTAAAAACTACCTTAATGACAGACACCAGTGTGTTGTTATAGATAAAAAAAGCAACTCGAATTTACTGAAAACAAAATGTGGTGTACCCCAAGGGTCCATTCTTGCTCCTCTTTTGTTTCTTATTTACATTAACGATCTCTCAAATGCCTCTAATATTTTCAAAACTATAATTTTTGCCGATGATACAAACTTATTTTACTCATCAAAGTCTATTGAAGACTTGTTCAAAAAAACAAACAATTAATTAAAAAAAATTAATATATGGTTTAAATCAAACAAACTATCACTCAATATAAAACTAAATATATTCTATTCCACTCTACTCAACAAATAAAAAAGCTTCCCCTTAACCTACCAACTATTTTCTATTCGCTTTTTGTTATTTCTACACATTATAATTGTTTATTTACACACGCGCATACGTACATGTGTACAAGTTTGTTTCTTCTAATGTAAGGGTACCTTATATTTATATGTGTTTACATATCTATTTATGGTCACACCACGCGCATTCCTTACCACCCTCACGAGATCTCTAAGATTGTTGGAGCTGTTTTCAAAAACTGGGATAGGGATTGGTTTTTTGGCTTTTGTAGTGTAGTCCTATTATATTGCAATATTGACTAGCATGACGTAGAGTGCAGGCGGTGAGATCTGTTGCAAGGACACGCCCCTGACGAGTGGCGTTAGTTATATAGCTAATAAAACTAAATCAATAAAAAATAAATCAATATAGCTAAATAAAACTAAAACTAAATATATTCTATTTTATTCTAGATAAAACTAAATATATTCTATTCCACTCTACTCAACAAATTAAAAAGCTTCCCCTTAACCTACCAACAATTACTATAGAAAATATAACCATCGAAAGAGCTCAAAATACAAAGTTTTTAGGTGTTCTAATTGATGAACACATCTCTTGGAAGCCCCACATCAACTATATAAATACAAAAATATCAAAGAACATAGGTCTACTTTATAAAGCAAGATCTTTCTTGACACAAAAAAGTCTAATACTCGTTTATTTTTCATTTATACATAGCTATCTTATGTATGCCAATATAGCATGGGGCAGTACCCACATAACTAAATTAAAACCGCTTTATCTGCGTCAAAAGCACGCTTCAAGACTAGTGTTCAACAAAAACAAACTTACTCATGCTCAACCCCTACTGGAGCAAATGAACGCTTTAAATATTTTTCAAATTAATATTTATCAAAATATATTTTTCATGTTTAAATATAAACTAAGTCTGGTTCAAGAACATTTTACAGCACACTTTTTTGAAAACAACGTAAACAAGTACAATACAAGAGCAACGGGAAACTTTAAGATACCCTTTGAAAAAACTAAACTATCAAAGTTTTCAATAAAACATCGTGGTCCCTATTTATTTAACAAAATAATTTCTAGAAACGAATCGCTAATAAATTTAAACAACGAACAGTCCCTAAAAAGAAAGTTAAAATCTACAATAATCAAGTTAAACCACTACAAAGAGTTTTTTTAAACTCCAATTTAAAATTTAAAAATTTAAAATAATATAAAACAACCCTAATAAAACAAAAAATGTAACTTTTCAAAGAAATTAATAAAAATTATACTAAAAGGAAAAGTAACATTAATAATTTTTAGGCATATATGTATCACATACATATTTGCTACGTATGCAACTGATTTTTATGTGTATTACACGTCTAAAAGGTACTCGATGACAAGACTGACCCCAGTCTTTTGCGAGCTGCCTATAACTACAAACAATTAATTATTTTCTTAATTCTTATACAAATCTTGTTTTTATCATACTTTTATATATATATATATATATATATATATATATATATATATATATATATATATATATATATATATATATATATATATATATATATATATATATATATATATATATATATATATATATATATATATATATATATATATATATATATATATATATATATATATATATATATATATATATATATATATATATATATATATATATATATATATATATATATATATATATATATATATATTATTCTGATTGAAAGAATATAAAAGGTTTATTTCTTGGATAATTTTTACGTTCACGTTATTCTATTGTGTACTTTGTATTTATTTTTATCAAGTCTCAAAGTTGAATGTAACAATATTTTAGATTTATCCCTTATTTATTTTGGACTTTATGTTTACGATATTTATATTTGTATATCTTTATTCGCCAATCGATGATTGGTCAATTGTAAATACTTTGTAGTTGTGAAATAAACATGTTTAAAAAAAAAAAAAATGTTATAACAATAAAAAGATTATAATCAAGCTAAACCCTGAAACTTTTGCATTTTTTCATACGCAATAAAAAGCTATACGTTCAGCAATCAAAAGAGTGCTTAAGTTATATTAGACACTATGGTCGTTTTTTTTGGGCCTATATTTCTTCCAAAGTGATATAAAGCTTTTTAAATAACGAAATTATATCATTTTTTGTTTTTAGTCAAGCTAATGTTTTTTATAATATAGTGAAAGAAAAATAAAAAGTTGACATTTCTGCTACTGAATTTACCGTACTGTTAAAGGATTTGAAAGATTAAAGTAATAGAAAAATTATATTTACCTTTTATGGTAAGATAGCTTTTGCAAGTTAGCAAAGAAAGTAAACATCATTTAAAAAACTAGTTTTTGAAGAAAATAGACATTTTATACAGTCTCTGCCTAGAGCATATAGAGGAATGGACACGTCACCATATTAGGTTTTATGTTTTTAAATGGTCTTTACCTAATTGTAAAATTAAAATTGAATTTGAAATTTAAATTATAAAAATCATATTTTTTTTTGATAAAAATCATTTAAATACACATTCGATGACAATGAATTGTTTAACAAAATTCAAATTACTAAATTATATACGAAGGAAAAGTTTTTTTCTTGGAACTCTTTATATTTAGTGTGACCACCGATGGTTTAAAGTTTTTTTTTCATTTCAAAAACAATCGCGTTCTTTACAATTAAAATTGGGGAAAGCCGCGTTATGTTTGCCAAGTACAAATGCTTCCGTAGAGCGAGTATTTTCAATTGCTAATGAGATTTGGGGGAAAGCGGAATAGTATCGAAAATTAACTGATCGAAAAAATGATTAGTATCGAAAAATAACTGACCGAAACTCATTTTAATGATTAAGATCGAAAACGTGATTTTCAGATTAATATTGAAAGGTTTTTATATCGAAATTCACAAATTTGGAACAATATCGAAAACAATAAAAACGGAATAAGATCGAAAACTCATTTAACTGATTAACATCGAAAATGTGATTTTCTGATTAATGTCGAAAAGTTTTTATATCGAAATTCACAAATGTGGAACAATATAAAAAACAATTAAAAAGGAATAAGATCGAAAACTCATTTTTATGATTAACACCGAAAATAAGATTTTCTGATTAATGTCGAAAACAATAAAATTAGAATAAGATCGAAAACTCATTTTTATGATTAACATCGAAAATAAGATTTTCCGATTAATGTCAAAAACAATAAAAACAGAATAAGATCGAAAACTCATTTTAACGATTAACATTAAAAATAAGATTTTCTGGTTAATGTCGTAAACAATAAAAACGGAATAAGATCGAAAATTTTTAATTGTCAAAAATTCTTTTTAATGATTAACATCAAAAATATGATTTTATGATCACACTTTTATTTTATAAAAAACTAGTACTAGGAGAAAATCTTAAGAAATTTTTGATACTAAGTCAGTTTTCAAAAAGAAACTTATTTAAGAGTTCGATGAATATTTCGTAACTTTTCACCCTAATATCGCATCAGCTTAACAAAGTTAGCATTACCTTCAATGAAGAACAGCAGCTTAAATGAACAGATAATTTGCACGCGCAATAAACAGTTTAATTTGCATGTGCAATAAAATTCCGTTCGAATTAAAACTGAAAATTTAAGAAATTTTTAAGAAACTCAATATTCTAAATGTCGTTAGAGAACTTATCAAAAAATTATAATGAAACTGAAGGAGAAAGAAAAAATTCAAATGTGTTTTGGTCTGGTGATTTTGGATACACTAAAGATAAACTTTATAAAGACAAACTGCATCTTAAGTGTCGTTTTTTTACAAGAATGAACCGCAAAGGCAGAGCTTTTATTCATGAAGATAAACTTCAGGTTACAACTGTTCACAGTTGCAGTTCAAGAGAAACAGACTTTGAAGTGCTGCTTGCTAAAAGTACCATGAAGAAAAAAGCAGAAGCAACATCTGAAGACCTGCGCTTAATTTTTTAAAACACTTTGACTGAGTTTCCTGCAGTTGTTTCTGAATCTGTTAGTTTTCGTCAAATTATCCCAAGTCTTCAGAAAAGGAGAAGGTTAAATGAGCCTTCAATCCCAAAATCACCTAATAAAGCCGCTGAAGTTCTGAACGACAAAGAGTGCCATCACTATGGAGACATTTTCTTGGGATCAGTTGCAGAACAGGACGTAAGGACACAACATAAAGACGCTGCGCTAAAAACGCAGGCAAATTTTTATTTTTTTGAGTAACGAAATTAAAAAAATAAAGCAACAATGTTGATGTCAACTTTACTTGACTTCCTCCCCTCACCCTTAGCAAAAATTTTCAAAAAAATTTAGAAACCTATTTCCTTATTTTTTTAACGTTATTAATGGACAGCCCGTAGACGAAAAAAGTGATATATTAAAAACGTTAGAACATTTTTATTTACAGTTGTAAATTATAGTTACATTTATAGTACTTCCAGCATGACACCACGCATGGAGGAAAGTAAGTGGTATCAGCTCTTGATATTTTCTGTTGAGTATTCAGCAGTACTTGAAGATTCAATTCCAGATGAGGATCATATGAATTTTGATCCTGATAACCCTCACCTTTGGGGAATATCTGTTCCAGCTGTATGCGCTTTAATGACATCGAAATCCGAGACTCTATAAAAGCTTGTTTTTTCCAAAATAAAAGAAGTTTTAGATTTCTCTCCAGTCACCATTATGTCCGATTTTGAACGAGGACTACAGAATGCTTTAAAAACAACTTGGAGTGAAAGCTTGGTGAATGGTTGCAGGTATAAGTTATTACTTTGTTATTACTTAGTTTCCAGTTTCTAAGTTATCCAAGTTTTTCAGAGTGTGTTATCAATTAATGATCTCCTTTAAACCCTTATCTTTAGGTTTCATTTCGAAAATGCAATCACCAAGCAATTAGCAATTCTTGGTCTTCAGAAGGAATACCGCCACCAAATTCAAGTAAAGAAGTAAAGAACAAAACCAATAATAATGCAGAGAGTCTTAATAGACTTCTGAAATCAAACATGGGTGATCGACATAGAGAATTTTGGCAGTTTATGAAATTGCTTAACCAGCATGTATTAGTCCATATAATTCAAGAGCTTCAACAGCTTGCCTGCAATCAGCCAGTCCGCCGTGACCAACGCGACTATGGTGCAATTAAAAAAATGCGTTGTTTTGAGAAAAAACTTCGAGACGGAGTTTGGACAACTGAGAGATTCCTATCAACAGTATCATATCTCTTTCAAAACTTCAAAGTAGTGTAAGATAATTTTCCAATTTTTTGTATAACACTTCTTATTTATTAAACTTTATCAATTTTTTTACCAAACTAGTTAGTTTAACTTTATTTGATAATCTGTTATTTTTCATGAAATATGGAAAGTTGTGTTTGAAATTTTTAAATATTTTTAGTGCTTTGGATGAAAACTCAATGAACAAGGTTGGTGAGAGTCTTTCTTTGCCAACTTCTACTTCAACAGAGACACCGAAGTGCGTTGTTTGTACTGTCAATGAACGAAATGCATTAGTAATGCCTTGCAGACATTTTTTGTTTTGTCAGCCCTGCATTCAACAAGTCCAAAAAAGCAACACATCTCATTGTCCCACTTGCCGAGGACCGATATCATCTATAATTGAACCTTTTCAATGATTCAGTAAAATTTTCCCTTTTACCTATATTTTGAAAACTAGAATGTCACACAATTGTTTAAATTTATTTAAAAAAATTTATTATATAAAAGCGGTATAATTTTTTTCCTATTGCTCCGCCTGAAATAAAAAATAATTAATCGTCATAAAAATAATTAAACGTCATTTTTTAGCTTACATAAATGACTCTTAATTCCATTTGGGCCTACAAAATTTTCCGTAAGTTGGCGTATTGTATTGGTTTCAGTTGAGCAAACCCCATATTACGTTGAGGGTAAGTACTAAATAAATTCCATTTCCCTAGAAACAATAGTCATTTACATGTTAAAGTTATTGTATAGATAAATGTAGCATAAAATTCTACAGCTACTTGTCGAGCAAAATTAAATAAGTTTCCTTGAAGCAAGTGACAGTATCAACAAAAGACTTATTGTGAGGGTTACTATGTTACGATTAGCACTTTCGTGTGCACAAGCGTGTTAAAAGGAACTTTTTGCTTTTAACTTTTTTTAACTAGGTTTTAACTTGTCCAGCTAGCTTTTAACTTGTTTAACTAGGTTATAACTAAGAAGAAGAAAACGAGTGTTAAAACATTTTGGGCCGGGATCATAACTTGTTACAGTCAGCAAAAAAATATATAGAAGTTAAACAAAAAACTATATAATTAGAATAAGCTTGTCAAAAAGTATGTGAAAACCATATGCTGAAAATATTTCCTTTCCAAGATATAACACCTTATAGATTGTATAAAACACAGACCCAGATTTTACAGACCAGCACAAAACAGCTATAAAAAAGGATTTTTCATCCTTAATTTGCTTTATAATAAATATGCATTTTGTTTAAAGAGTTGCTATTGATATAAATTTTCTATTAAAAGCTAGTTTCTGTTAAATTTATCACGTCCTTACTGCTGGTAGGGGTGGGGAAAGGGAGGAGATAATCGTGAGCGATTGACATTTTTTTTTGTTGATCAAATGCTCTTAGTTTCACGTTATAAAAATTAATTAAGATTTTCTATTCTTGACCACATTTTTCTCACAAATTTCAAACGACCAACCTAACCTCAAAATCTTTACGATATGGGCTTGTATATTTATAGAAGGTTATTGATTGTACTTTTTATAAAAAGTACAATCAATAACCTTCTATACATAAAATAAATTGTTAGAAGATAAGTAAGTTTACTAATCTTCATATATTTTATTCACTAATATATATACTAATAATTCTTCAAGTTAGTCGAGTTTCCTAAAACGCCTTACAAAATTTTTTATGAATATAATTTGCGAATAATATATTAACAAGTATAATTGAACATGGGCTACGGCATGGGGGTATATCTACATTAACTACGCCATGGGGGAGGGGTCAAGGTGGCATTTTCCCTCCCCCTCTATCAGAATTTGTAGTAAGGACGATTTTTTTTTTATAAAGTAAGTGTTTAATAGTTCTTTTTGGAATTTTATGTTTTGCTTACATAAAATATTTAGTTAACATTCAAGGCAGTGCACAGTGGGCCAGCAGTGAGCAAAAATTAAAAAAATGAGCAAAGCCAACCTTTAACAATTCAAAAATTTTTTGAATTGTTAAAGGTTGGCTTTAAAAATTTTCAAAAAACCTTTAACAATTCAAAAATTTTTTGAATTGTTAAATCTTTTTTGAAAGTGAGTAACCTAAAGAAAATTCAAATGGTTGTAATATTATGTTTTAGTTGATATAATTATTGTTAAATTGATCTTATAATGTTAATATTGTTAAATTGATTTTATATGTAGTTATTAATTTTGATCACTTTTTCATGTTTCTGGCCCACTGTGCAGTGGGCCTAAAATCATTTCGTTAAAAAATCACTAAAGGGCAAATGTTTTTAAGCATTTAAACAAAGGCGATCTTTTTTATTATTTCCAAAAGATGTCACTAATATTTCTAAGATACAACACGTTACCTATAATAAAAACAACATTGTTGTTGCAAATGATAAATAACATTATTTATAACTGCGTCACATAGATTTGATTTACAATTTAAGCGGATAAAGAAGCTTGAAAATAAGTGAAGTTTGAACGGTATTTTATGAAATGCACCACCACTTTTGTGAAATATTATGTTCATAGTTTTGTCAGTAACATGGATTTGTGAGTTTTATCATACTTCGCTTTAACGCGTTGCAACGCGTAAAATTAAAATATGATAAAGTTCGGGTATATGTGACTCTTTGTTCTAATTTCCATGTTAACGACAAAACTATTTGCATGATATTTCATAAAATTGGTGGTGCACTTCATAAAATAGAGTTCAAATTTTACTTATTTAGGGTTTGAGCTATAACTGAAAAAATTTTCAGAATTTTTTTTTGCTCATTGTTATAAGTTTAACGTCATGGCTCCCGGCCCTAAATGAGAAAAATGTTTCTTCTTAGATTTTTACATATTTTCTTGATATTTACAAATGTAAATGAATCTTTACTCTGACAGTTTGAAAAAGGTCTTTTTCTTTAACTTGAGTTAATTTTTGTAGTTTTAAAAGAGATTTTTTTACTCTTGGCCCAATTTGCCCCAAAATGAGAAAACGGGCTTTGTGTATTTTTACATTTTTACATTATTGTCCTGAATGGGCGATTGGGCCAAGAACAATCAAAGTTCTGTAGAAGAAATTAGACCTAATATTTTTACCTATTTTCTTGTTATTTATAAATGTTAATGAATTTGTTTACCCTGACCGTTTGAAAAAACTCTATTTCTTTATCTAAAGTTAATTTTTACGGTTTAAACGAAGCTTTTATAGCTTTTGATCCAATTGCCCCAAATGGGTAAACGAGGAGTGGAATTCTTACCTAGGGGCCCCTAATATGAGAATGATAATTTGTAGAATTGAATGCTTTAGTAAAAAATAAAACAATCAAAATAATTCAGCATAAGTACTTCAGTGAAATTCCTTCTCGATAGCATATGAAAAATAAGTTTATTATTAAAATTTAGTGCCATAATTCCTTAAGAAAAACTCAACAAATCTTGACACCAAATAGGTATTATTGAGCCCAACATAGATTGTCATAACTTGGGAACCAGTTATCCAAATTTAAAAAATGAACACATTCTGAAAGCTTCTTCATTATCCGCATATAATGGTATTAATTATAACAAGAAATAATTGTAATAGTAAAATCGAGTGAAGGGCCTACTGTAAATAAAATCAATACATTTTGTTTTGAACCGTTTTATAAATAGCCAACAACACAACATTCAATATTTTTTGTTCTACTAATAGAGCTTTTGGTTTATATTATACAATTATACAGTGTAATTACTACACTTTAATTAAAAACCGCAAAAAACGCAATAACCTGCAATAATTTTCAAACCTATTATTAAAATTTACCTTTTTGAAAAGTCCTTTTTCGATTTTATTCCTTTTTTCGCAGTTTCGATATAATTCCGGAAAGTCCCGTTTCGATATTGTTTCTTTTTTTACAATTTCGATCTAATTCCGTTTTTTGAAATTTCGATACTATTCCTTTATTCACACTTTCGTTATTGTTCCGGTAGGTCTTTTTTCAATATTATTCTCTTTTGAGCTGTTTCGAGATTATTCTGCTTTTAGGATTTTCGATAGTTATCGTTTTTTAAAAAATTTGAAATGTTTTCTTTTTTGATATTATTCCGAAAAGTCCCTTTTTGATATTATTCCTTTTTTCACAATTTCAAGGTTATTCTATTTTTCGGATTTTCGATACAATTCCTTTTTTTACAATTTCGATGTTATTCTCTATTTCGATGTTATTCTGGAAATACCGTTTTCGAGATTAATCAGTTTGGCTGTTTTCGATACTGTTACTGCTACCCAGATTTAGACCGAAGGGAAATCCTAATTTACATTGAAAACTTTCGAAGCTATTTTTCTCGTTAAATTTAATTTAAAAAAATATAACTAATCAGAAATTGTTGAAAATATTAAAAATAATAAATATTTACTGAAATGCAAAAATAGTGATTTAAAATATTTTATTAAAGTGTTGTGATATAAAATATTGTGATTCAGGGCCGTTCCGAGCCAACTTTGCGCTTTGGGCAAGAAAGGAAAATTGCGCTCTTTCCCTCCTCCCCCCCTCCTCCCAAAAACAAATAAATAAAATTAAAAAACGATTTATTGATCTCAAAATTTATCATATCAAGTGTAAGTTACGATATGTCATGAATACTGCACAAACTTCAGTTCAAGTTCACTTTTCTAGATTTTTTGGATGCAAGTTCACAAATGATGTCATCAAAATCAAGGTTGCTACCACTTTATGTTCAATTGAAACTATAGCAAGACTAGACAAACACTTTATGTTGAAAATGAAACTATAACAAGACTGGTCCATAGTTAATCTCGTGAACTTTTTTATGAGCTTAAGTTTACTGAAACTTCTTTCACACGTAGCTAATGTGACTGGTATGGTAAGGAAGATGCGAACAGCTATTGCAGTGTTAGGATAAGCATCAGTCAATGAATATTTATAAATGAGCTACGAAATGTCAATTGAGCTAGATTTTTCAAATTTTAAAAAAGATTTTGTCCATCATTGCAGCAGCTTGATATTTAAAACTTGCCATTTCTGACTAAAAATCAGTAGAATCTGTCGTGTAAATCTGAGATAAGTTTTTGACTTTTGTCTTATGTTTTTCCACTGAACTTTTAGATAGTGAACGCTCAAAGAGGAAGTCAAAATTAGAAAATACAGCAGACATAGACTCAAACCGCCATTCAGTTTGTGTAATAATACTGGCAAACACAAAATTGCACTGTCATCCGAAAACTGTTTCTGCTGTGAGGAGTTGAAAGTCGTCTTCAGTTTCATAAAGTGCCATCCTCTTTATTTTGCGCTTCCTTTTGACTGGAAAACAATCTTTAATTCCATTCTGATTGGCTGTTTCTGCGGCATCTTTGAAAACTTTGCCCACACCAACATCTCTCAAATTCTGAATGAAAGCCTTCAATCCTTTCATTTTTTTTTTGCTGCAAAGTAAATTGAAACATTTTTATACTGAATAAATTTGTTTTCCCGGTCAATTAATGAAAAAATTTGACACCAAAAATTCCACAAACACAAAAAACTGAAATCAGTTTGAA